GCTCAATTACGATGGTAATGCATCCATAACACTATCGACCAAAGTTCAGGCCAATCCATTAAACGTCTATGAACAAGGCTTACCATCATTTGCATCACCTCAATTTATATCATCATGCTCTTCTTTAGCCATTCCATTGAATCTCACTTTATCACAAATAAAATTATCTGGCATTATTATTCTGGTCTTCTCAAAAGCGAAGGGACTTACCCTGGTATTTCGTAATGATCCTTTGGAATCCATCACTGTTAGTTCGACATTTGATCAAGTCCCTGTTATTGCTAAGTTTTTGCAGGTTCAAATTGAAAATCAGATTCGTTTATTGTTTAGAGAAGAATTACCTACCATCATCCATAGATTGAGTCAGAAATGGACACCCGCCGGCTCCGCCATTCTTCGTGCCTCCACATTATCCACTGATACTACTGATGGTAAAAGTCTATCGTCTACCAGCCCTAAACTGAAGCCGGTCTCACTGATGGATATCAACCCCGACTTGCCGGCATTGAGTCCCAATAATATGCTCAGAATCAGTGCTTTATGTGCTTCGCAACGTACACTCAGTCTTTTTACACCATCTATTCCGGACGTCTTTTACCGCGGTAATTTGGAGCGGTTTAATCATTCGGATGACGATGATGCTAGTGTTCACGGCGATGATACATCCGATATTGCTCGAATGCAGTCTAGAAATTATTATCGACACCATCATTCAAAACCCAAGCGTCGTATTATTAATTTGAGAAAGAAGTCGGTAGAGAATGTTTTGGAACAAAAGGATCGTGAAGCTGATGTCAATAGCTCGACCCATACGATATCATCGTCAGTAACTACTACTGTTACAGTTGAAGATTTAACAAAACAATCCAACAGTATGACTATCAATGATAATGCTAAATCGCCAATATCTTTGGCGTCTTCTACTTCAACTCCGCCAGGGGGTTTTCCTCAAAAATTGCCTGCTGTACCTCTGATAAACAAGGATATGGGTTTATCAAACAACACCGCTGGGTTCTCGTTATCTTCTACTAAGCCGCTTCGCGATGTGAAAAATAAGCCAGTTGAAAATGTTGATTCTACTTTGTCTCCTTCGTTATTATTATCATCCAATTATATCCCTTCGATAGGGCCTATTATGCTTTCCAAGAGAAGTCAAATGAAGAACAACTCTGAAAAGCGTGAATTCTATCCCAATAAACGAAACGCTAAAGAGGGTTATTTTATGGACTATTTCAATCAAAACGGTATATCAACTACCTCTTCTAATGATCCCCCACCTCCTGCTTATGTGGCCTAGAATATGCAAGCCTATATCATTTTTTGGATCATTTATTCGGAACCATCTGTAAATCATGTTTTTCTTTATTATTTCCAATTCATTCGCAGTTGATCTTTATGCCCCTTTCCCCTTGTCATGACCCTTATGAAATCATCAATGATTTCTTTTTTTGCATTTTGTTTTCTTTCTCTCGTTCGCATATCTCATACATATAGGTTATATGGAATTTATATGTATGTATTTCTCTTGGTTATAGTAGGACTTTTGTAATTTATAATTATTCATCTATAAAATCTCAAAAAAACTATGTCTATATAATGAATTGCTACTTTTTCCAGATTCAATACAAGAACCAAATTGGCTTTATTAGCGTATTTTGGCCAATATATTTTTGACATCCATACAGATTAATTGTAACTGAGGTCATTGTAATTATTCTTTCTTTTGGCTTGCCTTTTTTGGCCGATTTTCCAAGTTTTGGCCAAGTTGCAACCAAAAAGGGCTCTTTTAACTTTTTAAAATTTACTAATTGTCATATTTTATAATATTATTGGGAAATTCTAGACCAGAAGTTCTAGGAAGTACTTCACCTAATTGATCTCAAGCTAAGAATGGATTTTGAGCATATTATATTACTCTAATATGCAGGTGTCTAGTATACAAAATAATTGACAGATCATCAAACTAACAAAAAAAGATCTTAAGGAAAGTGAAAGCACCAGAAGAAAATCAGATGAGGTGAAGGCCAAAATAAAAAAAAATACTAATGAACTTAGATAGAACATAAACACTAATTTCAGCATTAGCGACAAAGCTATAACCCGGAATTTGAATTAAAAGTCAAAGTTCGGAGAAAGAAAAAAAATAGAGAAATATTGTCACTATATTTGGAAGGCCACTAATTCTGTCGCCCGAATTAATAGTGATTTAAAAATTAAATTAGCTGAATCATTTACTCTTGAATTTCATAAACAAGAGATCTTTTGGCGAGTTCAGCATAAGCTCTCTTGACGTGATTTTGACTAGAGAAGGTACCATTGTTAACTGCGGAAATCTGGGGAACAGAAGAAACATCAGCAGTAGCGGCGGCAAGAACCGTAGAGACAGTAGGGCTCATGGTAATGAAATGAGTTTTAGTAATAGTAACAAATTGGGTGACTTGCTGTTCGTTAGCAAAAGTGGTAGTAGCAGTAACAGCGTTTTCTTGACCGTTAGAATTGGTATTAGTGTAGGTATAAGTAACGGTGTTAAAAAGAGTGACAGTAGAAGTAGTTAAGGCTTCAGTGATACCAACAGAGGTGCTAACGGGGGTAACAGTTACTTCAGTATAAGCAGGGGTTTTAGTGGAAGCATAGGTGATAAACTTGGTTTGAGTGACATATAGAGTAATCACCTGTGTGTCTGCGACGGGAATCTCAGTGATAACAGCACCTTGGCCATTGGTGACAGTTACGGTGTTAGTGGCGACAAAGGTTTTAGTAGCAGTGGGAAGGGTTTGATAGAGGGTGGAAGTCTTGTAAATAACGACGGTTGAATCAGCTTTTTCGATGGCATTGGCAGAACCAGTAGCAGGTGTAATGCCTGTAGCAGAGGCGCCATGACAGTTATTGACGGTCACAGTTTCTGTAACGGTAACGGCAGCGGGGTTGGCGGCCGAAGCACTTATGGCGAGAGCACCGAAATTCTTTGCTGAGGGAATGGGGCTAGTAGTGCCGGCTTGGTTCAAATTAATGGAAGCGACAGTGTCCTTACCATGAGTGTGACCTGTGGATCCAGTTTTTAGAGTGGCACCGGCAATGGTGGCGTCAGCAGCGGTAGTAGCTACGTTTAGCTTAGAGACGGGGACGACAGTAACGTCTCCATTGGCAACAGTAACAGTCTGGTAAAGGGTAGAAGTCTTGGTGGAGATAACTACTGACGTGGCGGTACCATTGAAAGCACTAGCAAAGGCAGTGGAAACTAACGGCAAAACAAGAGAGATGAGAGTTGAGGCCTTCATTGAAAATTGAGGATTGAATTGAGATGTTTTAGAGAAGGAATAACGAGTGGTAAGAGGTTTGTTTCAGAATAAAACAATGGCAGATATATGAGTATCGCGATTAGGCTTAATAAATAAAGGAGTGACTAGGATCAATGATATCGGAAACAGTGGTAAAGGAATGAAACGACTAGTTTCAGAAATAAAAACTTGTAGAAATGGAGAAACAAAAGAGGGGAACAAATAGATGGTAGCGTGGCATATTGAGAATTTGTGTGTATGGAATTGACTCACCCCTGGCTTGATATTAATGATTGAGTTATCCCTTGATTAATTTCCCCTGGGGCAGAGAATTCAGATGTCGCATTTTGTTTCAACTGCAGAACGAATGCCCTTAAAAAACCGTTTATTCTCTTGCCTAATGCCTGATGCTCAGCGCTAGTTGCAGATAGGTTGACTATGGCGATTTCGGAATTGGGCTGCGGGTTCTACGGTTATAGATCTGTGCAACGTTTTTATAAGCTAGTTGCAGGGGCCCTCAGTTCCCAACATGATATATGTTTTTCGACACAATTTGCCATTGAACTGCAACTGCCTGGAGAACGCCTTTAGTTTGGATTTTGCCTTATTTGGCAGTAGTTTTTTTATAGATCTAGAATAAATATTTCAATTTGAGCGTTGATTGCGGGAAATAGTACCTACATAGGTTGGTTTTTGTTCTGAATCAGGGGGAGCTTATAACAATGGTCTAAGAATTCCAACTCTAAATTCAGTCCTGCTTAACGTGCACAGCCAGCCGCGCGGCGGGTTTCAGGGGCTCTCGTTCATTTTCGACTCACCTAACTATCGAAAGATACTATTAGTCGCGTCACTCTAGGGAAACGCCGCCAGCTTGAAGACCAAAATAGTTACATTCTCCTAGTGCCCCTGCATACCGGACTTTCATGTATTCGAAAACGTGTTTTCCCTCATTCTCTGAAGTTATCATAAAAAAGCAAGAAAATAAAATAAAGAACATTAAAATTTTGGGCTTGCCAAAAAGAGCGGTCCGCAATGCTAAATAATTTTTGTTTCATATGGTTTAGAACGAAGAGAAGTTTAACAGTAAACTGAGACCGTGAGGCTAAATGCCTTTGGTAAATACAATTGGCGGTATTTATAATACCTTGAAACTAAACTAAAGGTGTGGAGTTTTTTACTTGACATTTGCCAAAATATAATGTAGGAGAAATCCTGATAATCTTATGCACTTTGCTCTGAAAGTATAGCGGTTTTGGCCATGTACGAGGCACCGAGGTTTCTTGTGTAAACGTACCTCAAATAGACCAGAAATAAATGCCAAAATGTAGTTTTTCCATTTACCTTGGAAACGAAAAATTCTATCAAGGGACCAAGATTTGATAATGAGAATGGATAGAAAAGTCTTCGTACTAGATATTTGCACAAATTGACATTTAAATCCCAGGAAATGAAACAAACCGAGAAATATAACAAAAAGAAATGTGCATTGATTACTGCCACGCGAACAATTAAATTCATCCACTTTTTTGAAACCGCTTTACGTACTATGATAGTTCCAGAAGTACCGGCATTACCGATTTGCGACGTTGAAGTCAGCTGTAGACCACGAAGGAATATCAATGGTATTACAAACAGAAGATAGGTCGGAGCAATTGTGAAAGCAAAGGAGAACTGGCCTCATCAGAACAAATTAACCATTTTCGGTTTAAGTCCATTACAATTGGATCTGTAGTGTAGTGGTTATCACGCCTCACTCACATTTGTGTTCTGAGGAGGTCCTGAGTTCGAACCTCAGCCGATTCATTTTTTTTTTTCAAAAAAACGTTGGGCATTCTATTTCTCTGCCAATGGAAACAGAGGGAGAATATAGTTAATATTGATAAATTGAATTCTAGCTATAGAATATTTTTAAACAAATCTGGGCTGAATTATTGTTGTAATTATTTTAAAATTTTGTTAAAAATAAAATATTTTAATGTTCTTCTAAATTAAACCAAAAGCTTTAACAAAAGAAAAGAAAACAATTTTTTGGGGAATAAAAGACTTTTGCCAAAAGCTACTCGCCGTAATATAGTTCAATATTTGATTATCTGATTTAAACAATAAAACAAAGAAAAATATCAATAAATAAAGTTATAAACAATTAAACACATTCTAAAATGCGCAATGTATTGGAGTGTCCTAAACCACTAGTCCATCCCTGAATAGCTACAACAACATCACCAACAGACAGGACTCCCAATTTAACAGCTTGATCCATACCCCACTTTAGTCTTTGTTCGACATCATTCTGCCACTGAGATGAGTCTGTGGGTTTGGGTTTTTTATATAGAAATGGATATACCCCACGGTAAAGGTGACTATAGCGTGCGGTTTGCTCATTACGTGTGACCATAAGAATTGGACAATAAGGCCTGTACTTGGCCACAAGTCTAGCAGTTGTGCCCGATGTGGATAATACCAGAATTGCGCCAGCCTGTTGCTCAAAAGCTGCAGACACAGTACTAATGGCAATTGTTTCTACGGTTTCGGTGGGCCTTGAAACCAGAGATCGTAATTCATTAAATAGGGTTTGGTAGGTAATGGTTTTTTCGGCCACCAAGGCTGCTTGGACCATAACAGATACGGACTCAACCGGATACTTTCCTACCGCAGTTTCAGTAGTTAACATAACGCAGTCGGCACCATCAAGGATAGCGTTACCGACATCAGATATTTCAGCTCGTGTAGGCCGGGGATTATATGTCATAGAGTCTAGCATTTGAGTGGCGCAAATCGCAGGCTTGCCAGCCAGATTACACTTGGCAATAATTTGCTTTTGTATTATCAGTACACGATGTACTGGTATTTCAACCCCGAGGCTGCCACGAGCGACTAGAATACCATCTGCTTCTCTCAAAATTTCATCAAAGTGATCAATACCCTGTTGATTTTCGATTTTTGCAATAATGGGAATATTTTGGCCATGATCAGTATATTCAAGGCTCCTCAGAAACTGGCGGATTTGAACGATATCAGCACTCGAGCGAATAAAGGACGCAAAGAGAATATCTACTTTATTATCGACCGCAAACTGTAAATGGGCCAAATCCTTTTGGCTAAGTGCGGGCAAATCCACTTTAGTGCCAGGCAAATGGACCCGCATTTTCGAAACAATTTCACCCGCAGACAGGGCACGTACTTTGAGAGTTTTAAAGTCTACAACATCCAATACTTCCATGACGAAGAAACCATCACCTAGGCAGATTTTTTTCCCTGGCCCAATCACTCGTCCAACGTTAGAATAGTCAAAATAAGTAATCTGGTCATCTGAGAGGCCCATGTATTTTTCGTCAGTACTAAAAATCATTTCATGACCTTGGTTTACGAGGAAACGAGCGCCTTCCTTAGTAAGACCGGTATAGATTTGCGATCCGGTGGTATCGATGGCGATGGCCAAGGGACGGCCATGATACATTTGTTCAGACTCCCTAGCATGTTGGAGGGCGGATTGGTAAAAAGCAAAATTGCCCTTGGACAGATCCAGCCGTAGAATGTTGAGGCCGGCCTGACGCATGCTAGTGATAGCCTGGGCCGAGTTTGTTGAGGGGCCAACAGTACCCACGATGGCGCTTCTTCGGTAGTTGTGGATGGGGAGGTCGGCGGTGTCCAGAGTGGCTAGCCATTGTATTGAGGATGGAGTTTCCGAGCCAAAGATCATTTTGCAAAAGGCAATATTTAAGAGGTTTTGAAATTTATGTGATTTTTGTATATTTTTTGTGTTGATTGGGGCCGGAGTATGTCTGTATACACGGTAGCAACGAGCTGTAGCAAGCAAGAATAGCAGGGTTTTTGAGCGTCAAGATTAGCAAAAGGCACGAAACAAAAACCAAATACACAGAGGTGGCTCTAAAGATTGTAGCTAGTTAATTGGATTAGAAATTTGTTTTCCCTGTGATTTTGAAATCAAGGGTTTTACACTCGAGAAGGCAAAAACAGGATGAATATCTGACTCGGGCGCAGGCCAGTTGACGATTCTCATGACATTCAAATATGGGGTAGATGCGCGGCTGAGTGCCCCACGCAAAAGGCTCAAATCACGCGCCTTACTATGCCTCATTTGGTTGCGATCGGAATCCCCGACGATGAAGCAGTTATGCGGTTTTTTGGCCTTGGTAAAGATGTCTGAGATGCCCGAGAAGTCAGAATGGACGGTTGAGGAATCCCTAAAGAATATAGGTTACCAAAAGGGATTTACGGTCTTTCACCATCGCCTAACGACTGGTTAAATCCTAGTTTTATAGAGGCACGAAAACAGAGTCAAAATGGTAAAGTACTGGGCCAAATCGGTTTCCTGGGGTTTTTATTGACCCCACCGGCGCCGCTAAGCGCCGGGAATGGATCCCGGAGCCTAAACCAACCGACGCACTACGACAAATCTTGGAAAAGCGGTGGGCATTTGCCCAAATGGCTGGTCTATTCATGCTTTCGTAGGCGTGTTCTTCAGCATGCTCGGAAAATTTTCGATTTACTCTCTACTTGCCTTTCTCTTCTTTTCCTTCTCTTTTCCTATTTTATTTTCTCCTTTCCTTGAGAACTCTAGTATCTACACAAAATCCTTAACAATGTCTAACCAAGAAAGAACCTTTATTGCTATCAAGGTATGTAACTGACTCACTTTGCCGTTGAATGGCAACGCAACCAAGCAAAAAAAAAAAAGAAAAGAAAAGAAACGAATTAATTTTGAAATGAATATGGAAAAAGGAAGACGAAAACGAATTTCAAAAATGCTATATATAGTCTGGCATGGTCAGCCTAATGGCCCTTTTTTATTGTCATTTTCATTTTTTTTTTTGAGATGGATGGCCAGTAAATTCAATTGAGAAGAGCTTTAAATTTTACCTCCGTTCTCTGCTCTTTTTCTTTTTTTTTTTTTTTTTTTTTTACCTTCGGTCTTTTCATATTTCCCCAATTACTAACATTAAAATTACAGCCCGATGGTGTCCAACGTGGCCTTATTGCCCCTATCATCCAACGTTTTGAACAACGTGGTTTCAAGCTTGTTGCCATCAAGCTCACCAACCCCTCTGAAGACCTTCTTAGAAAGCACTACGCTGATCTTCAAGAAAAGCCTTTCTTCCCCTCCTTGTTGAAGTACATGACCTCCGGTCCCGTTCTCGCTACCGTCTGGGAAGGTAAGGATGCTGTCAAGACTGGTAGAGTTATCCTCGGTGCCACCAACCCCAAGGACTCTGCTCCCGGTACCATCAGAGGTGACTTCGCCATTGAAGTCGGTAGAAACGTCTGTCACGGTTCTGACTCTGTTGAAAACGCCCAAAAGGAAATCGGTCTTTGGTTCAAGACTGAAGAACTTGTTGAATACACTCCTGAATTAACCGCCTGGATTTACGAATAAATGCTTCAATTAGCTCACCGTTTATAATCTAGAATATAATGTTCAATATATTTTTCAACCTTATTTCTTGTTTTCTTTCTTTTTTTTGATAGATTACACCTAGTTTGCCAAATCTGTAAATCCCCACATTCTGATCCGCTTGCCTTTATATGCAAATTATTATTATTCTGCAACTTTGGTGCTCCTGCTATGATGCACAAATCTGAATATTCAAAATGACAATGATGTAGATTACAAAAACCATAACAAAAATGACCTGATAAATTAGTTGATCATTATAATTAAGTTAGTCAACGATTTCGAATATTTTTATAATCCGTTGAACGGATAACGCCGAGTCGGCTTCCTCCGTTGATTGGGCGGCCAACGCCGACTTTGGGGAAGAGCCGGTACAGCATCAGTACAGTCTCGAGAGTATTCCTCCTGAAGAACTACCGTGAGCATGTTCTAAATGCAAGATGGCCTACGCCGCATCTGAAAAACAATGAGTCTCTAAAAAAGAAAGAAAAAAAGGTTTGATACGATAAAATCGGGCGAGATTAAAGGCTTAATTCTAACCATTATAACCTGTAAAAGCATGGAGTAGTATGCCATCTACACAGCCAGTTATTTCGAATTCGTCTCTCGGTCTTCTCCAGCGGCTTATCGTCCTCCCAGGCGTATGGAACCTGTACCTTATCAACACACAAGATAGATCCTCGAATATAAATACAGAGCTTAGTTTACCAATTTTTCTTTTCATCAATATCTATCTCTACCCTATATTAACCAAGCTAATATCACTCTAATAGCAGCTGAATTTATTGCCAATACTTGTAATAAATTCATACCAATTTTCGTTTAAAAATTCAACCCTAAATCCGGTTTTCCAATCCCCTTCCCCTTCTATTCCTTCATAAATGTCTGTGAGCTCTCGCTGTTACGGTAAGGACAATGTTCGTGTCCTAAAGGTCGAACGTGATGTTCAAGACCCCAATTTACAATATGTTCAAGAAATGACCTGTTGTGTTCTTCTTGATGGTGATATAGAAACCTCATACACTGCGGCCGACAATTCGGTTATTGTTCCCACTGATACCGTCAAGAACACTATTTACATTATGGCCAAGAAAACTCCTGGTGTATGGCCCATTGAATACTTTGCCGGTGTTTTGGGTCAACATTTTATTGACAAGTACGCCCATATCTCGCGTGTTGAAGTTACTATTACTCAGCACAAGTGGTCTCGCTACGCTGTAAATGGTAAGCCCCATGCTCACTCGTTTGTTCGTGATGGTACTGAAAAGCGTTCAGTAAAGCTGGTCAAGGACCGTAAACTTGGTTTCAAGGTAACCTCGGGTCTCTTTGATTTATCTGTTCTCAAGTCTACTGGCTCTATGTTTCACGGTTTCAACCAATGCGATTTCAC